ACTCTTTCATAAGATGTATAATAATCTACTGTTCATAGATGATTTTTAAAATGATTAGCAATTTTCTAGGCCTAAACTTTATTTTTTACTCATGAAGAAAATGAGTTGACACAAATGTTTTTTATGGGTTTTTCTACTAGTGTAAATGGCAGTCCAAAAAATTGATAGTTAAAAAAAAAAAAAAAAAAAAAAAAAAGGCTGTCAACATGTAAATGGGCCTAATGACAAAATTTGCAAATTGATTTTTTGATGAAGATAATCTTTCCTCAAACAGGTATCTTTCCATTTCATGAATAAAAGAAATGGACAAGATCTACAAAATAATTACAGGGGTTACCCCTTTTGCAATTTTTGTTTTATTTATCCTGCAATTTGGCACGGATCAGTATGGATTAGCCTTATCAAATGTCACTTCTTTTTTTTTTTAAGAATGTTTTTTGGAATACTTGCCATATCTATTATAGAGAATTAATTTCTAAAGCACAGATTTGTAATCAAATGGAGCAGTATTGGATCCCAAATATATTGAGAAAATTATTTTTTATTGGTTGGTCCCCTTTAAAGGTATTACAAAGTTTTGGTATGGGGTCATGAACTTTGTTCAAATGAACACATTGGTAGCATATGCGATCCTACAATATTCAGTGATCGTTGTCGCGGTTGAAATCGAGTCTAAAGTTATGAAATTGTAAATAATAAACTCTTTTATGTTGTATAGCTCCCTCTCAAGGTCAAGATATTAATTAAGCTATGAAACAATGTTTCTTGACTAAAATCTACCGATTAGCTATTCCCGTTTGGAAATTATATATCACAACTACATATTCTGAGATTATCATAGTCGCAGCTACCATTGTACGGCCGTAGGCGCTATTTGAAATTTCTCAAAATTTACCGGGAGCACCGGTAAATTTTTATACTAAATTTTTCTCGAAAGTAAAAGTGTTTTAGGGGCTAAATTTTTGTGTGTTTACAATACATCCACAGGGGCATCCAAATATATCAAAATTGTAAAGAATCACTTTCCACCCAATTTTCAAAATTTCCCAAAACTTTGTATTACCTTTAATATGATGTAGTTTCGGGCTGTTTTGCCAAAGATTTGAGGTCAGCATTATGGTTGCAATCAAGTTTTAAAGGGCAATCCAACCCTTGTAATAAGTTCATTTCAATGAAAGCAGAAAAATCAGAGAAAGAGAACGGCGAAATATTGACATAAATAGGACCAATAATAAGAGAGTTACGACTGTTTGAAATTTGAGATCACTAAGCTTATGCAATGCGAAACTCAATTGGGCAGTTTTGTCAGTGGATTATTATATGGTGACCAATAATGTTCCGTTTATCGGTACAAAAAAATATCCTCAATATCTGTGTTTCTCTTATTGCTTTCATCTTTGAAGCACTACTCAGAGTGTTATGGAGAGTACATTATTACAGGTCCTCGAAAAAGAAAAGACCATTCTAAGTCATACATTTTTGAAAAGTAATTTTATTTATTTTGTGTGTTGAAACGAATGGGAAAGTTGTCTGACACTACATCACAAAGGCATTACCGATTCAGCCAATTTGAAGGGCCCATATATGTACCTACATGTTCAATGATTGCAACTTTCAAGAATTCATAACTTTTCATTTTTCATCCAATTTTATTCAAACTTTCACTAGTATGCTTCTCTGATTTTTCTGCTTTCTTCTAGAGCAGTTTGCTTTCAAGGTTGGATTCCATATTAAGTTTAGCTTGTAGGTATGTATAGAGTTAGGGTAACAACAAACGTAGGTTTGGGGTTGGGGTTAAGGGTAAGGGTTCTGCATTGTGTTTGGTCCAGGGTTGAAGTTAGGAACTCATTTAAAGGAGTAATTGCCACCAGAGTATGTCAACATGAAACTGACATCACACTTGTGCGCTTAATTTGCGGGCATTGTCTAGATCATATTCAGCTGAAAGGAAAGTTGGAGGTTGTCAAACTTGTCATTGTTACAAAGTTCCCAATGCGGTCAATTTATACTCGCTCTCCATTTGTGAGAATGGGAGTTCAAACTAGAACCTCCATGGTAAAGACTTCATTTGCCCCCCCCCCCCCCCCCCCCCCCCCAGGGAAAAAAATATTTACAAAATTTGGGGAGCTACTTTTTAAGCTTGCTTGCATGAAAATAACACTATTTAATTTGTTTTGCATTGAACTCTATGCAAATTTTTGGGGGCTCTATTATGACTTTCGGGGGCTCTTTGGGGCATTTCAAGGGCGAGTTTGCCCCGAGCCCTTGTGTAATTTTCCCTGTCCCCCCCCCCCACTCCCCATTTTGTTCCGATCTCATGATAGCCAGTGGTTGTCACCAATCAGTCTGTCTTTGAGCACAGTCAAGAGTCCTTCGTATTTATTCAACTCATAACATCATTTATTTTTCACTCCACTTATTTTGTCAAAATCATTTGCCCTTACTGCTAATAATTTAAGCAAAGCCTCATCTACTCACTTCCTGATCTGAGACATGATATTCTGTATCAAACATCACAATTTTGAATTTACTTGGGCAATCGTCCTGCATCTACCTAATGTACATGTATTATGTAGAGGTATTGTGGTCTAGTGGATGAGTCACCCGACTGCAGATCACAAGGTACAGAGTTTAAGTCCCGCCGCGGCACTAATGTCCTTTGGCAAGACGTTAATCTACATTTGCCACTCTCCAGTGTAGATGGGTACCTGATATGCTTGAGCGCTAGTTACTTTGGCAGCTCGGCTATAACTAGGGTAATATATGTATAGCGCCATGAGCGTCAGAGCCTGGCAGATATTGGCGCTATTTAAAACCAAAGACTGTACACCAATCCCGAAAAAGCAACCTGTTGAAGAAATGACTGATCTGAGGCCAATTTCTATTACCGCAATTTTTTCTCGTGTAATGGAATCATTTCTCTCCAAGTGGATTTTCCGTGATCTGGTTCGCGTTATTGATGTACGACAGTTCGGCAACGTTCCTGGTAGCTCTACTACACATTACTTAGCTAGCCTTATCGACACCATCATGAAGGGCACTGATAAACAAGGAATGTGTGCATCTCTGTGTACGATTGATTTCGCTAAAGCATTCGACAGGGTAAATCACAATGTCGTCGTCAGGAAACTGATCGAGTACGGTGTACAGTCTTCTGTTTTACCGACAATTTGTAGCTTCCTGAGTAACCGCAAGCAAGCTGTTAAAGTTGGTGCTTCTACCTCTTGTGACCTTGAGCTCGCCAGCGGTGTCCCCCAAGGGACAAAACTTGGCCCGGTGTTGTTCCTTGCCATCGTGAATGATGCTGTCATTGACTTTGAAGCCAGATGGAAGTACGTCGATGACTTGAGCTTGGTTGAGGTGCACCCCTGTAATCAACCATCTAACCTCCAATCAGAGCTCAATCATCTTTTCCAGTGGTGTCACCAGAATGACATGAAACCTAATCCACGGAAATGCAATGTGATGAACTTCTCATTTGCTAAATGCCCACCTGTCTTTCCTGCGCTGCACATTGCTGAATCTCCCCTTCCGGAAGTTGACAGTCTTAGAATTCTGGGCATCATTCTCCAACGCGATTTGAAATGGAATTCTCATGTGTCCTCGATGGTCTCCAAAGCAAGTAGACGTCTATACATACTATGTCGCTTAAGGAAATGCAACCTCCGACAATCTGAACTCGCAAATGTTTATGTCATGTACATCAGACCAGTATTGGAATATGCTGCCCCTATCTGGTCATCAGCAATTACTACACAACAGTCTGCTGACCTAGAGCGCGTCCAAAAAAGGGCCTGTCGTATTATCCTGAGCGGTTATACTTCCTACACTTCGGCCCTTGAAACACTAGGCATCCCATCCCTTGAAGCACGCAGACAAACTCTGCTCTCTAACTTTGGTCTTCGTCTTCTCTCCTCTCGACACCGAGATCTCCTGCCCGAGTTCCGAGGGCAGACAACGACTCGTCAGCTTCGGAATTCCAACAAACTCAATATCCCAATGTGTAGAACCACGAGATATCGCAAATCTGTGATCCCTACCATTGTACGGCTGATAAACTCAGATTTGAAATAAGCTTGAAAGAATAATAATCCATTCGTTTCGTTTGATTTTATCAATTCAAATTTCAAAATAATATATATACCTATATTTTTAAAATTTGCAATCCAACAATGCAATTCTGTTAATCACATCTAGTTTGTTGCCGAATTTTTCCTCTTTTTTAACAGCTATTTTTTTTGTTTTGTAAATTCAATTTTCAATAATAATTATATATCTTAATATGGATCTTGAAGCAAATACATGTGTATTAACCATGTTTTGCCAAATTATGTAAAGGTTTTTATATTTAAATATCTATAATGAATATATCAATGACATTGCGGTTTGTGCTTTAGGATTCATTGTTTAATTTTGTAGTCGGTTTAAGTTGGTCTCAAAAATTATGCTGCATTTACATTGTACGGTATTATATTTGTATTACAGTACAGTTTATTACACTTTATCCGATTATATATCTAGTTCTCCATTTCAGCCTATTTATCTGTCCTACTCTTTATTTGTCCCTTTTATTGTGTAGTCTCCTCGCCAGCTTCTCTTTCTCATTTCTCCATGCCCTCTCTCTCTCTCTCCCCCTCTCTGTTATTATCTTACCAGTCCTTCTAATCTTCTGTTACATTTCTCTTATTGCCTTCTGCTACGCGATCGTTCTCCTTCAATTATCCTTTAGTCATCCATTTTAATCTCTTCTCTTGTTTCTCTTCTCTTCTTTTCTTTGATCATATCCTTGATTATTTATTGTGAATCGCCATTTATATGTATATGTTATGCTTTTGAATGTATCTTTTGTAAATTCAATTTGTTTCAGCCTCTGGCTGCTATTTGAATGTTTTTTAATCAATAAACCATATCAAATCAAACAAATCAAAATATCCATATTATATTATCATTATCCTCCTGCATAATATTAAAAAAAGATGTCTTCTTCTGAACAAAAATTTCTACTTCCCTTTTCTCAATGTAATTCCAGAATAAAGAAATGGCAGAGGGGGTTTCTTACCTACAAAGGGTTCATTCTCTGATATGTACAATACTTCATCATCTCTGCAGCAAAGAAAAACACAGAAAATACAATTTTAGATAATACTGTAGAAAACAGACTTTACCACGTTTATTAATGTACATGATTAAAAGTATTTATATTTGAAAGAGGTTAACTCCATAAATTTTAAATGAAAAGTGTTTCTCAGGGTCTAACATGTTCTTCCCAAAATAATGCTGTAACACACTTAACAGTTGTCATTGCTTTTCAGTCGTTTTTATAACTTTCAAATGTTGTAAGAGTAGTTACAAAATATGATTTTAAAAATACTTTACAGGTTTTTTGTTTTTGTTTAGAAGGAAGATCATCGCTTGAAAAAAGTTAGCAGATACAGATACAGATACATCTTGTCTCCTACTTCCAATATTCATTCTTTGCATTCTTCCTTTTCATCCTCTATAAGTTTGTTAGATCATTTTCAGGGCCGGGGAAAACAGAATGCTTTTTTCCAAATAAAAATCCATAATATTTTAAAGTTTAAGGAAAATAAATCTGAGATTCAAATTGCCTCGATTCATGAAATTCAGTTCACCATAAGTGCTTTATGACCTTCTCATTAAGTTAATAATTGAAATACTCCTACTGTTCAGAAACTTTGTGAGTGGTTCAGATTTGCCAAAGTTTTTTTCTGTGCAAATGAAAAGCCTCCAAATTTGCACAAGTTTCATTTCTGAAAGTTTTCTGGTTTTACGGTATATGAAAATAAACAGAGATTCATGTTTGCAAGTGCATTTCTGAATATGCACTGCACGAAGGTAAAGTCACTATTAAATAATAATAAATAATAAACAAGACTCTTCAAATTATTTGTTTTTTGTATCAGAAAATTATGCTCATTTCCCCAAAAGAATCCTGTAGTTCAGAAAATATTTTCAGAACGACTCCACAGAAAACACCAATAGTTCTTTTCAGAACTTCACTTTTCATTTTTCATACCTGATTAATGAGGCATCATCTATCCTACCTCCCTGTGCTGTGAATACATGTGTAGCTGTTAACCCGAGGCAGTTACTGGCAACCAATATCAGTCTCTCCATCGTATCTGGACATGCTATAACCTGAAAAGAAACAAAATCCATTTACATCACATACATGTAAAAGCAACATGGCTAACTTCTTAGAGATGTCGTTCATATAGTACTACGTTCATAGCAGCCTTATTCTGCTTGATGTGTTATAAAAAAATAGATGTCCTCTATTGAATCTTAAAACTCACCGAAATTCAATAAAAATCAACTCTTTATTTACAAGTAACAGCACCTAAATAGAAGTATAAAATAAAAATCAATTCAACTATTCAATTTTGGAAAAAAATACTTAAAATTAAAGCAGAAGAATACTGTCAATCTTGTCAATATGATGCCTCAAGATCATTGTTAATTTATTGATTACTTGGTCACTGTGCTCAAATTTCCAATGTTAGGCAAATTCATGCAAAAAAATATATTCAAAAAATTGGCTTGAAAACACATCACACAATTAGTCTGAACCGAGTCAGGAGCAAATTTGAAGAAATTATATTTTTAAATGTTGTAAAACCAAAGATATAAGAAGAAAACTGACCAAGTATCTGTACTAAAAATCGTACATGCAAAATTGGTCGTAGACATTCGACAGCTGAATATGACGCGCACGGTTGCATTACGTGCGTTCTCGAATCCAAAATCGTACCTCACACACACACTCTCGCCATACCGCGAATGGTACGTCGTGGGGAGCTAGCCGGCAGAGAGTTTGCAGCGATACCAACGCAGCTTCGGAGCTCCGCAGCGCGCCATTTTAGCAGGACTCGGAAAGGTTTGCGATGGGAAGGCAGCGGCCTAGCTTTTTGCCCAAACAACGCTAGATCGGCTGCTGGCAAAATGAAAATAACTACGATCGAGAACATCGTCGGTTTCTTAACTTTTCAGTGAGATAATTCTGAATTCTAATTGAGACTATATAATAAATTAAATCGACAAAGAAACCTCGATAGAACTCTTATAACTATACAACAGCTTGTTTATTTCTTCATTTGACATTTTGTTTTCGACCATTTTTTCGTGCGCGAGTCAATGTAAACTATGTATTACCAAACTTTCAACACGCAAGGAACAGGGAACACTCGCGGACCTCGTAACAAATTTGTTGCAAAAAAAAATTTTCAATGGTGATTTTGAAGCAGTGAAGAACATTGGCGCTGCAATGCGCAGAAATATACTTGAAAGAAACTTAAAAAATAATACCTGAATTTTCAGAAAATCGTATTTGTATTAGTGTACCTAGATGTGACTTGTTTATAAATCAGATTTTATGAAGATTTGTCGGGAAAAAATGTCAATTTTTTCCGTTTGGTGGTCATTTCTAGGCTAATATTTTAAAAGTTGCATCAGTAATGGGCCCGATGTTTCTATTATCGTACTCGCATGTTATTTCTACATAGATTAAACATAGGATGGTTAAGGGTAAGACCAGATAACATTATAAAAAAGATATATCCTTCCACCCTCCCATATCCAAGTTTTGGGCTGATTATTGCCGACCCACCGCAGCAAGGCCATTCAGATTTTCGTACGCGCGCAAAGCGCCCTCTATTGCCCCATGAATGTGCCTACCAATGTAAGGCAATTTAATAGAACTTGGCCATAACAAACAAATTTAAAATGCAAGATTTTTAGTGTGCGCAAGACTGACAGAGATTTTGGTGGCTGCTTTTTATAGGCCATTCTGGCCAAGTTATTTGCCAAGTGTACCACTTGAGAATATCACTAGAAAAAAGAAAGAAAAAAACGATAGTGAAAAATATAAGCAGGGATCTTTTTACTGTTTGGACATGATTTTGACCTTAATATACATGTAGCACAAGAAATATCTGAAGCTCCATCTTGTTAGTTGTTATTTTAAGGTAAGTCTGTGATTTGAATGAATAATGATGCTGCTTCTTGGCCAGGATTGACAATAGATTTCTGATTTAATTTTTTTTCTTCCAACATCGATGAATTGAATTGATTGTATTTTGCTGCTAAGTTAGGTGTCATCAATTATCACAAAGTTCCGATAGATCTATTATTGCCTTCTGTTGAGTTTTGTCCAGTGAGTTTTGTCTAGTGGTATTTAAAGTTTTGAGAACCATTAGAGGGTATATTTAAAAATTTTATTAGAGTTTAGACTACAAATAAACTAGACCTGCATAAATTTTCATAAATGAAAAATACACGCCAATCAAAACTAAAACAACAATAAACTGCAAATGCAATGAGCGAGTCATGGTGGGCGTGTCTCCAAAGTCTCCAAAGACCAAATACAAGAAAGATCTCTTGATATTTCCATTTTCCCAGTTCTCAGACCTGACCCAAATAAAAATACATTAATATTCATTAATGAAAATATATCATATTAGTCTAGGTCTACTTAGTCTATATTCGGAATAGTCTAATCTGAAATTCAAACTTCTAAGTGAAAACTTAACACAGATCTATACAGCTGGGACTACGCATAAAACTTTGCTAGCAAAAATACATTCACTAAATCTACCAGTTTATGCCATCATAACCATTCTTTTTCACAAACACAAACATCACTTGTTGAATTACCATACCTTCCCATCCGAAGTCCTTCCATTTCGAAAAATGGTGACTCTGGGGCGTGGATTTCCTGCCATTTTGGCAGAATGACGACGATGGCAATCAGCTGATTTGACTGAATTATGCGACCAATTCTAGTATAGTGCTTGTGTACTAAGGTATCTCCACGCAATATTCATGAAAGGAAATACACAAGCTCAAAGATTACTCTATAACGTACTCTGCGGGTGTCAAGCTAAACATAAATGCCCAAAAGCTATGTGTATGGCTGGAATGAATTGCAAGCCTATATAAAAAAATTATTGTATAAATGAGATACTGTTGAAAAGTTTAAAACACGTCTTAAAAAGTTTCTCTTTAGAAACAATTTCGAATTTAACTTAGTTACCAGTATGTATACGACTTGCGATATTATGCTGTGCACATCTCACTCTTTTCTATTCATTTTCTTTTTCTTTCCTTCTCTCCATTGCATAGCTAGGATAAGGAAATATTTGTGATATACGTCATATATTTATGGTTTATTGTTTTTATTTTCATTATTATTCGGTCTCTTGCACGTGGCTAGCAATGCTCTAAATCCAACTGAATTCTCAAATAATTAGGCACAATTAACTGATTGACTTTTTTGGTTATTTTTATTGGTTATCCAAAAAGAAAAAGTGTATTTAAAAGTGATGATATGGAGTTGTATTTATTACGGATTGTTATGCCTATAGGCACGGCACTGGTATCATGTTGTGGGGAGGAGGGGCCCCAGAAATATACGATAGAACATGGTCATAAAGAGATGGATTAATAGGGTCGATCGTATAATCTTCTCCCCCCCCCCCCCCCCCCCCCGAGGGGGGGGGGGGCGCTCTCTCTCTCTCTCTCTCTCTCTCTCTCTCTCTTTCCCTCCCTCCCTCCCTCCCTTCCTTCCCCCACCCGGGCCTTTGGACACGACGTGTCTCAGTGCCCGATGTAATAAGCCAAGCAGTAAGAACAATGATTTATCTATAACGACACTAAAGCTGCCTGTGGACATTAGTATACTCCTTTTTTACCTTCTACTTCTTCAAGCTTTTTCTTTTTCCTTCTTCTTCTTTTTCTTCTTCTTTTTCTTCTTCTTCTTCTTCTTCTTCTTCTTCTTCTTCTTCTTCTTCTTCTTCTTTTTCTTTTTCTGCTTCTTCTTCTACTTCTTCTTTTTTTCTGCTTCTTTTTTCTGCTTCTTTTTCTTATATTATCTTTCCTGTCATATTCTTCTTCTACGTCGTCGTCGTTATCTTCTTTTCAATCCGTTCTTCTTCTAAATTCTTCTTCCTCCCTCTTTTATTATTTGTAACCCTCTTCCTTATTCTTATTTCTCCTCTTCTTTGTTTCCTTCTTCTTCTTGATCAACTAAAGAATTACATGAAAATAGTTTTCCATGCTCCATTTTGTACCCATAATGTATTATGTATCATTAATGATCATTTGCAATTTTAAGGTCTCATTAGAATGACAATTTAACGATGGAAATTAAGAAGGATGATATACGTGAGAATGAGATGGAACGCCCCACGCCCCCCCCCCCCCCCATTACGGCTCTTCCTTGAATTATATTTATGTACTTCGATTGAAGAAGAAAAAAAAACAGGTCACATGTAGGAACAGATCACCTGTATATTTTTAATTATTGTATTACAGACAAAAAGTAAAACATACAATGACAACGAAACAAACTCAAAGCTAACAGAAAGAAACACATGATGAAGTCTAAAATAATATATACATATATATACAAATGGACCCACTGACATCGGATACAAAGAAGTAAGATGGCTTGTGACCGCAGACCTGACTGAGGTAACAATTCTCAAAATAATGGTAAGATTTTCTGGAAATGGGCCTAAGGCGAGCCCCTAAATCCTCATATGACCGTAGTTAAACCCCTGAGCTTTATGGGGCTCAGCCCCCTGGACCCCAAACAAATAAGGTATCAAAATATGCTCATCTGACCGTAATTCAATGCCTAAAACCCTTGAGCTTCTGGGGGCTCCGCCCCTAGACCCCACGCCAATTTTCGCTCCACTTGCTTCGCTCGCTACGCTTTACATTATCGTCAATATACTTAAGCCCCCCGCCCCCCGCCCCCGCCCCACACACACACTTTGAAAAACGTTTAGCGGGGCCTGCATGTAATGTGATGGGGATCTTTTTTTTCAGCCCCCCCCCCCAAAAAAAAAAAACATTTTTGCTCATTATGCCACTGAATTTCAATGTGTGAAAACTAGATAAACTAGAAAGATTTCATTTCGAGATTAACGATATACAATATTTGACAAATGCATTTTACATGACTATGTAGAATATTTCAGTATAAAATAAGGGTGATGATATTGATTTTTAAAGATATAAAAAACTTTGTTAGACCATTCTGTAATAATTGGATCGAAAAAAACCTTAATGCAGTATTGAAAATGCTTCAGGTTCATTTTTACATTGGAGGCCTGGCTCCATAAAAGTTTTACAAGAAACGCACAAATTAAATTGTCACATATAATTACTTCAACAAAACGAAAATCTGTCAGCGATTAAAACAAACTAAATGAATGAAATTACAGAAGTATATATCCACAAGTGGGAGTGCAAGATGCAGAAATCTCAATGTTAGGGATAAATATTTACCCCCTCTGTCGAGAAAGATAAAATTATAGCCACTATAGATAGGTGGCCTTTAAAGAAAGGAAGCCAATAAGATAGGATTGACTGCCATTTCGACTTTTCTAGGCAGGAGTGGGGTTCAGCATTCGTCCTCAGTTGATATAACTATATACCTATTAGGCAAAAGGGGAGCAGTTATACCCAGCCAGTATGAAATAATATAGTGTCTTTTTCTCATCGGTGATGAAAATTAGGTCAGTGCACTGCTATGTCGGGTAGCATGAAAGGGCCTTCGCCAAGCAGTTCGAATCTGAGTGCGATGTGCGCGTGCCATGCTACAGGGGCGAGCAGGATGTAGCGGGCCAGGATGGGCGGGCTGAACCGGTTGGTGAAGTGAGTCGACTGGTCGCAATTACCCGTGAAGATTTTGATCTGTGAAAAAAAAAGTCAAAGTGTGCTTCATTCAATATTATGACAAATAGAGAACATAATGATCACGATATAGTTCGAGCGTTAGATTTATTAAAAAACATATAACATGATTTTCGGACGAATCCGAAAATTGAATACACGACTTTGCAGTTTATGGGAAATGGGGGTTCTATACCGAGGTCATACGGTTGAAGCATCAAGGCGGGAAACACCGTAGGCTTCATCAAAGTCACAAGGTCCGCGGTTCGAGTCCCACCGCGGCACTAATGTCCTTTGGCAAGACATTGACCTACATTTGCCACACTCAACCCAGGTGATATATTATATAATGGGTACCTGGCAGGAATTTAATTCCTTGAACTTGAAGATTTAGCGCCTCATCATGGCAGCTCAGCTACAGCCGGGGTAATAATAATTAGGATATCTTTTATTAAGCGCAGTAGATTAACTTGATATAGTATCTGCGCTAAATAAATTTATTGTTATCATTATCATCAAAAAGATCTGTTAGTAATAATATTCATCTTTTTTTTTCTTCAAAAATTATTCTTCAAAAATTGTTAATTGTCATTAATTCTACAAAGCATGCATTTTCATAACAAGTTGAACTACGTTTTAAGTATTATAATATATATTGTACTGTGCTGAAAACAAATCTCATTTGCACTAAGACAAAAATAGGATAACTTTTTTGCCTTTTTTTTTTAATGGAAAGAAATGATACACTGTACCAAACTACTGAAAAGTATGTGCATATATATAATTGTATTTAGAGCCTATTGTACATGAATTCATGTTTAGTAATTACAAATTGATTAATTTCGTCAAACACAGCGTATGAAATCCTTGGTTTTCATTTGAAGAGAAAAAAAAACATATAATAATTATTTAATTCATAACCTCTTTGACTTCTCCACAGGTCGATTCGGTCACTGGGGTCCACTTCCCCTTGCCTTCCCGGCTTGTCCAGACAGTAAAACGCGTGACCCAGTGCGGGGCATCACTCCGCCCCTGCGTGATGACCCCGGTCACGCGGTACACGGCCATGAGATCGACCTGTATCCATTGTGCGAAGTCGTTGATGAGGGGCACCCATCCCCCGACCTCGCGGTTGAGTCTCGCCGACTCGGAGCAGTAAGCATCGTCGCTGATGCAGGTCGATGCCGCGATACTAGTGTCGGCGATCCGACCGCTTTCCATTCCCAGCTTGTTCGCGTCGATCCCCACTTCTGTAAAATGAAAAGGATTCAAAAATTGGAAGAAAAAAAACCCCCGTCAAATCGAATGATTTTAAGATTTAAACTACGTTTATAATAATAGTCAATTTAACTTCGTAGCGATGGCATTAGATGGCGTATTATTAGAAGCAGTAAAATAATAAGAAGAAGGAGTACTAGTAGTAGTAGTAGTAGTAGTAGTAGTAGTAGCAGTATTATTATTATTAGTAGTAGTAGTAGTAGTAGTAGTAGTAGTAGTAGTAGTAGTAGAAGTAGTAGTAGTCGTCGTCGTCATCGTGGTCGTAGTAGTAGTAGTAGTAGTAGTAGTAGTAGTAGTAGTATCAGTATTATTACCAATACTACTTATAATATTATCAACCAACCATATCCGATCATATATCCTACCTGCGACTGGGCCATTGCCGAGGAGTTCGAGTCGGAGGGCGATGTGCCTGGTCCATCTCTTCGGATGAACCCTGACGGAGCGAGCCAGGAGAGGCGTCTCGAACAAGTTGATGATTGGGGTTGAGCGATCGTGGTTACCCCGGTAGATCTAAGATCGTGAATAAAATGGTAAAACGTAAATCGTATCCTACCATCTTTCATGTTTTGAATTGCGCAGATCCTTGAAACACGTTGGTCTCTTTGCAAATCCGCCGGGATTGAGAGGTCCATCCTTCCCAGTGGCCCCACTCACAAGCATTGCTTTTTGGGGTCTCAATTAGGATCATGTTTGTTCGTCATGATTGCTATGCCATGTGTTTTTTAATCAACTGAACTGAAACTGAAAATTGCATAAACTACAAATGCCTGTATCATCATGGTGAAGTAAACTAAATAAAGTGTAAAATCCGACAACTAGGATTTTATTTCTTGTCTAAAGTATTGGGATTAAATGTTGGAATATCTAACATTAGCCTACTTCATAATGCAAAGGGCGTAGATACGGGGGAGGGGGCATGGGGGCACGTGCCTTCACTCAATCAAAGGGCTACAAGAAAATACAACGAGTGTGTGAGAGGGAGATTTAAGAGAGGGGAGAACAGAACATTAAGAAGAATACAATCCCCTTTCCATCTTAAACACATCCCATTTCATGGCCTTGTCCCACATTCATCCCGATTTAGGGAGACGTGTTCTATCCTCTCCCCAACACCAGAGACCCCCGTCAATGGCTGGGCCCACGCTAGTCTACGTCACTGATTGTGCCATAAATTATATACCTTTTCTTCGCGATCGCAATCTCCAATGAACGACCACGCCTCGTTATCCATGCTGTACGACACCGCAAATGACGTCACCCATTGGTCAGCGTCTTCCCGTCCTTGCGTGATGACCCCAACCACCCGGTATTTCTCGACGAGATCCACCCCCACCCATTGGTTGTGGTCGTTGTACCGCGGTATCCACGCTCCGGGGAGTTTCCCCGATGACGTCACCGAGTTACTCGGGGTTCCACCTTGTTCGTCCTCGCCGGCGAAGTTGAGACGCGCGTGATTCGCGCAGTGACGATCGTTGTTGCAACTGGATGCTTGGAGTTCTGAATCCGCTATACGATAATCCTCGAGGCCCAGGGTATTCGGTATTACTGCCAAAGATTTACAAGAAAAATTGGAAGAAATGATGTCAAGACTATGTAATTTTGATCAATCAAAAAAGAGGAGATGGGGATGTGCAAAAGGAAAGCCGAAAATGGAGTCAGAGATGGAGAAGGATGAGATGAAAATAGGAAAATTATAGTTCTTAAAGAAGCAAATTAAAAGGAACGAAACAAACTGAAAAGAAGAACAATATAAATTACCGAAAAGTGCAGCCCCTATGTGCCATTGATTATTGTCAAATACATTTAGACCTTTAATATTTCACATTCTCAAGAAACATAAATCGGGACAAGTCAATTTTTCATACACTTTTTTAAAAAATCACAAAAGTTGGTAAGGATATGAACAATTAATTATGCTATTTTGGAAGGAGATATAGTGAAATTAGTAAAGAGCAAAGGAATTGGTGAATTATCACGTTTTAATTCATTCCTAATATCTATATAAGTGTTATGCATCTAGTCGGGTATGGTTCGCTATCTAAGTGGTATGCATTAAGTCGGGTATGGTTCGACCATATTCAGTTATACTCTACCTGGAATAGGACCAGCTCCAAACAGTTCAAACCTCAATGAGATATGATGGTGCCAGGATAGCGGCTCGATACGGACGAATCGGGCGACGAATGCCGGCATGAAGGGGTTGACGACCAGACTATTCCGATCCTGATTGCTGTGAAATATCTCAACATAAAATACAAACACCAAAGGAGAGAGTTTTTATATTTCACATATCTTCAAGAAATCATAGAATAATCAGAGGATTGTTATATAATATCTGCTGAGAGATGGGGAACAAATGGAGATCAAATTTCTATATTACAATGTATCACATCATTATGGACAATAGAACTTTAATCGTTAATATTGAATTACTAGAACGAGAAAAAAAGAGGAAGTATATGCTAGGACCCCTTTCCACAACCACGCGCTTAATCAGTGGCGCTGTCAAAGGACATTTCATCGCGTAAGAATGGTATATACCCCCCCCCCCCATGATACCAGTGCCTTCTCTTTGTCTGGGGCCGTATTAAACCATTGATCATAATCATAAATTGTTACCATAACCAATGATGCATTCCTTGGCAATGTCATGGCAATCATGAAGAAGTTCAAGAGTGCCATGCACCGAGAAGTGATGAAATCCAGATACAGGATTATTATAATATATACTTATTTAGGACGAGATGACAAGTTATCCGAGCATATCAGCTCAGTCCACTAAATAGTCAACTTACAATTTCGAGTAAATTATGAGATGGTTTAAGGCAAGCATAATCCTTCATCAGGAAAACTACCCTCTAAATAAAATGTGGTGAAGATCAGAGGAAATCAAGATGAAGGATAATTATAATGTTGACATTGAAGATGTCGGATATCCTTAATCCATCGTACCTAATTACCTTTCGACTTTAACTTGTCATCGATTGAAAAGAAATGTATGTATTGAATAAATCCAATTTCGCTCAAATTCTTTTTTTTGGTATAACTTAAGGCTAACTTCTCTGGGGCAAGGTAGCGAAAGGTAAGCATCTCATAAATTAGACATTTGGGTGATGGAAACAAAACGTTTAAGATTATATAATTCTAATATTTCATATTTCGTCTTCTTGTCCAACGTCAGCTTGACGTCATCACCATCATCATCATCATCATCATCATCATCATCTTTGCCATCGACATCGTCACCGTTACGAAAGTCATCATAGTAATCATTTAAACGAGGTATTGTATTACGATAATCTATTTTCTAAGTTCAACCCCCCCCCCCCCCCCCCCCCACCTTTAAAAAAAGGTCGGTCAGATCGTGATAGGGGAATTCTGTTTAAAAAAGGTAATGATAGCTACGATCTATTTTGTAGACAATATTCATGTAGCAAATGCTTCGATTTCATATTAAGAGTACCTTCTGCGTTAATCTTCATACCTGTGGTTGTCCATCATTTCCTAGACTGTATGTCCAGGAGTAACCATCTAAACTGTACGTCACCAAGAAAGTCTGTATCCAATTATCAGCATTGTCGCGACCTTGAGTTAGTACAGCTTCTAGACGAAACGACTGGCGCAAGTCAACCTAACATTGGAGATTTAAACAAAAACACGAAAGTAAAATGAAAGGATGTAAAATGCATGTACACATGAAATCCAGTCATTTTCATGATATCGATATACTATATCTATTCCCCCACATCACCGAAACGTTTGTTTACGTTGATTTATTTGTGCTCGTTTGTTTGATTGGTTGATTGGTTAGTTGGTTGGTTGATTTGCTTATTTGTTTATATATCTGTCTGTCTATTTATCTATCTAACTGCATCCAAACTTTTTAGTTTTGGTTATTTATCAGTTTGTCTGTTTGTTTATTTGGATCGGTGGTTTTTTTATCACTTTTTCGGTGACCATTCTTGGTAGTTATTGTATAGCCGTGTTCGCACACCGAATCAAGTTTGTATGTACGTTTATTTTTTTGGTTTATTTATCAGTCTGTCAGTTTGTTTACCTGGATCCATGGGTTTTTATCGGTTTTCTTCGGTGACCATGCTTGGTATTCGTTGAATAGCCTGGCCGTGTTCGCGCACTGGATCGTATTCCAGCACGACGAGGCGCTGAGTTGAGAGTCGGCAATGCGTCGGTCTTCCAGCCCCAGTGGTCGAGTTATCATCGCTTCACCTATACAACCATGGACATTGGTAATAAAAAGGATCCTAATTAATCGAGTACTACTACTACTAGATATTGAGTCATTCTTCTTCCTTACGTGCCATGCGGGGTGCCATGTCCTAAGACGTTGGCGACCATGGAATCCCACTACTCTCTGTCCCATATTCTATGAAGTAAATCATTCACCCCGAGATCAATTCCACTTTCAAAAATCCCACTGTTTGTAATTCATCGCGACAAAGGATTTATATGTCATGTATATAAGGTGCTAGTCACAATTGTTTTACATTCAGGACAAAACAAAGGTAACCTCCAGAAATATTCAAATCAATTTAAACCGTTCGAATTCGATTGTTCTACTGTGACACCTCGTGTCGTAGTGACAGGGGGCGGGATTGGGGGATGGGGTTCGAGTCCCCGATGGACCTCTAACTATTAAGATTCGAGTCATCCTCCCCTTGCCCATGCAATGGCAGATGCGGGATAATCAAGAGGTGACATAAAGCAGACGCCCTTGCCATTAAAAAAATATATATTATCTAGATATTTAGGCCTACTGTATATATTTAAATTGTTATATATATATATATATATATATATATATATATATATATATATATATATATATATATATATATATATAGGCCTATATATATCTTCATATTTTTTTTTTTTTTTGGGGGGGGGAGGGTAATTCCAATTATATACAATCACACTTTTGCAGGCGTCCCTTTTTCTTAAATAAAAGAAATCTTTATCAGTGGCTGTTGGAACATTTCCAAAAGATTATAAAACACGCATTAAGTTCTCTTACAGAAGCTAACGAGGGGCCATTTTTGTAGAAAGAAAGGATTTCGACGGAGGCTACCAAGCTGCCACAACAAGACTTGTGACAAATAAATTATAACAATAAGATATATGACTGTATTTGACATTACCGTTTGTCAATTTGACACCGAGGAGTTCGAACCTCAATGCGATCCTCTCGACCCATGAAACAGGGTAGATACGTACATAGCGAGCCGTGAAGGGAGGATGGAATGTGTTTGTCACCTGGGTACTATCATCATCATTGGCTATGAAATCCTGTTTGAAATGTAAAATATGAAAGGAAGCGGCATTAATTATTATATAATCCATGATTGCTATTCGTTACAGATCTTACAAAACTGATTCTTAAAGGCCGTCTGTACTAGTTTGGCAAGGAGGGATGAGACCACCCATGCAGGGTGTTATTGACAGGTGGCTTTCTCATCAACTCAGCTCTCAATATTAACATAAGAAAAAGATAATCATGGGAGTCCAATAGTCACCGATTAGGCATTGTTTTCTATATAGAGGGAGCAAGTAGCAACAAGTAATACAGTGGGGCTTTAAAATCCACTTTCCTCAAAGGGTGTCGGTCATTTGGATACAGGACATCATCTTCAGAGACAATGAACGTGATCAACTTAATCCGGTTTGAAATGTCATATGAAAGAAAGCAATCAAGATCATTCATCATTTTTTAATTATCCAAGATTGCTAGTCTACACAGATGTTTATACAATGATGCAAAAAATCTTTTCCTAAAAAGGTATTCGTAACTAAACATCATCTTCATAGGCAATAAACATAATGAACTCCGAGTTGAATTTTCAAGGAAAGATTTCATTTGAGATCATATTTCATTATCCAGAATTGCTATTTTCTCAAGATATTTACAAAATAAAGAAATAAATAAAATAAAAAGTTATTAATATACATAAATCTATAATTAATTTACATGTACCTCCGGTTCTTCACAACATTTATCTCTGAGAGGCTCGTAGTCACGCCCATTGTTGCTATGGGAGACGAGGAAAGATGATACCCATTTATGAGTTCCTTGCATCCCTTTTGTCACGATGCCAGTGATGAGGTATGGATGAGAGAGATCGACCTGAAAGTGAGGATCGAGGATAGGAAATGCCCGAGGGGATACTCAGATTTGGTTTGGTTGGGGGGTATACCGCTCAAGCCTCGAAACCCCTACCCATTATTAGGGGTCATTCAGGGGCATTTTTCTCGAAAAAAGACCCATTTCCCACAATTTTCGGGTGTTTTTTTTCGGGTGTTTGCATGGCAAACCCCCGAAAATTTTAGAAAAAACGGACCCATTTTTAATGATTTTTTTTGTTAAAAGTGGGACCCATGTCTAGGGATTTTAATGAAAAAGTAACCCATTAGAGCGGCACACCCCCGTACGTCCTAAAATATGATTACCCCCCCCCCCCGGAGGAAATGAATTCATTGTGATTTATTAACAAGCATTTCAAGAGATGGGTGATACTAACAAATCAAAGATTAGCAACGAATACAGACAGACCAAAGTTTTTCGTCATGTACTCATCAGAGTGAATTGCAAGAATGAACAGAAAGCCGAAATCCAACAACAACAAACACATATTAAAAATGCAGCTGTAGTTACTTGGATTTATATACAGTAAATGAGAATGTCAATTCAGGAACAATTCAATCATTCAGAAGATAATTCACCAAGTACACTGATCGAATTACACTTATAAAATAGAGTTTGACTGGGAAACGAGAGAGAAGAGATAGAAATAGGCAACAACAACAAAAAAAGGGATGAAGAACACAATAAAGATTTTCCAATACTTTTTCATAAAAACAATAACAAATATTAGCAAAATGAACTGTTACATCGTGATCTTCAAAACAAAACTTTTCACACAAAATCATCAACGCTTGAACTCGTTGGGTTTTTGTTTCTTCTCTGATGTCACAGCAACATAAATACTAAGGGGATCCGACGTTTTGGCGACACTTGATAATTGACTTTATTTCTTAAAAGATCTATATGGTTAGGATTGTTTTTGCTTCAGGTTAGGGCTGGGTTTAGGGCTAGGGGCATGTTTGGTCTAAGAATGTAATTAGGTATTTGGCTAGTAAAAATAATATTAAAAAGAATAACATTACCGCGGAGCACATTGTCAGCTACGTGCGTGTGGAAGAAACGTTAAAAGACCGATTTACTAACATATTCAAATTGTATGCATACTGTTTAAAGAAAAGTTGTTCTTGACAACCCGTTAACTTTCCTGAGGATTGCCTGATATAGCATTAGTGAAGGTCTGTAGACTAGATTCCAAGTGTTGTACAGTTCACTCATTAATAACAGTTTAATGGACTACCTCCTCAATAGGTCCCCAGGAAGAAAAAAAACATCCATATTATTTGAAATGTTGGTAAACAGTTTTATTGATCCTCGTGTTGATTTTTTTTTTTTTTTTAATTTTGTAGGACGCCATCCTAGTCAAGCATCGCTTATGATTGCGGTCTCCTGCACTTTTTCAACAGATAGATTTGATAATACTTTAAATTTATATTAATATGTTATAGAAATATTAAATTTCGTTATTATGTAGGCCTACAATATGTACAAAAAAAAACATTTTGACATAAAGTTATTATTGTTTGTATATTTTGTATTATACCTTACGTTTATATATGTTCTTTGTTATTCAGTTATTATATTTGGAAAATGCAGGAATAAAATCAAAATAAAATCAAGATCAAACTTTCACCTGGACCCATTGTTTTCTGTCGTCTCTTTTCGGCATCCAAGCGCCTCGGAGTTCGGCACTCCAGCTCGCTTGGTTCAACCTAGCATGGTCTGCGCAATGTCGGTGGTCATGACAACTAGATGCTGTCATACTGTAGAGGCGGGCATGGCGATGTTCTACCCCTAGCTCCATAGATTCAAACATATGCTCTGAATGTTCAAGGAAATTGAGATAAACTTCGTGAACACTAGGGTCATCTATCAAACATTATAACAAAAATATTTTAAAATGTAAATGATAATACATTAATGAAATTTTATATTGGCTTTCCGCCCATCTCTCGTTTCGTGAATGACTGCATATCCCTTTGAAGATTACAAGAAGAAGAAGAAGAAGAAGAAGAAGAAGAAGAAGAAGAAGAAGAAGAAGAAGAAGAAGAAGAAGAAGAAGAAGAAGAAGAAGAAGAAGAAGAAGAAGAAGAAAAAGAATAAGAAGAAGAAGAAGAAGAAGAAGAAGAAGAAGAAGAAGAGGAAGAAGAAGAAAAAAAGAAGAAGAAAAAACGAGAAAATGAGAAGAAGATGAAAAAGAAGAAGAAAAAGAAAAAGAAGAAGAAGAAGATATCTTGATATGCAACTCCCAATTAGTAAACAAGGAGATAGCTAAAGTTATCGTCGTAAGCGATATGGGCTACCCCGCCGATAACCCTCTCCATAAACTCCAACAAATATATTCGGGCAACTATCTCATACGCCAGCAAATATGATATCTTATCTGATATTTTTTCTTATGAAATTAAATTTTCACTACATTAACGTCTTATTATTTTTAGAAATTTAGATCCTGGAATGTTGATATTCAGGCAAGAAGGCAAGACAAGTCTGTCCCTCCCCTCCCCTCCCCCCCCCCCGTTACACCCCTTCCCCTTCCCAAGGAAAGTGTGCTCTTAATAGCCCTTGGGTATAATTTGTTTAAATGGGGATCTTACCTGCGATTGGTCCTTTGCCCATGACCTCAAACCTCATAGAGATATGACCGTACCATGACTTGGGTTCGAGGCGGACTAATCGTGCCTTAAAATCTCGATCGAAAAAGTTGACGATCGGCGTTCTGCTATCGTGATTGCCGACAAACGTCTACAGAACAGAAAAAAGAAAATAGTTATGCACATGAAAAGCCAACTTGTTTTTATATTTTGATAATTGAATAACTGTAAGGCGAAGAAATATAAAATATCTTCTTTTTAAACCTATGTTTTCTACTTTCATTAGACAGAACCAAAGAAAAAAAATCATTCAGTTTTGATTATGGGACGACTTCCAACTACAGTCATCCGAAAAGCACTTCTGGTGGCGAATCTAGGATCCTATTGTAGGAGGGGGAGGGAAAGGGGGGGGGGGCAGAAGTAAACAAAACTCTGTAAAAAGGGAAAGCGTAAATTTATGGGTGATATTTGGGTGTGATATCATAGCATGGGGCATGAGGCGCGTAATTTTGTTTATTTTAAGGAACGCAAAATTTGGCGGTCACCGGAAAAAGGGGAAAAAAGAACTTACCTTGGTTTCACTTGTGCAATGATCTTTGACCTTGGCCCATGTTTTACCGTCTAGACTGTGTGATATGGTAAAACGTGTCACCCATTGGTCAAAGTTTGGTTGACCCTGCGTGATGACCCCTTGAACTATGTACACAGCGCGCAGGTCAGCTAAAGAAAAAAACGACTGTATTTTAAATCATAATCACCAAAAGCAGGAGTAATGTTCCGATAGTAACCGCTGAATACTTATGTAAATCAAAGGACCATTTTTTTCTTTTAAAAATGGCAAATTAGCGAAATGGAAATTTACCAGAATTTCAATCCGTACACAAAATGAGAAAACGTATAGGACTACATGTTCCGAAACTTTAATAGATTTTATCATATTTTATTTTAGCAACTATTTTATTAGGAAAACATCTTGCGTATCATAATGATAGCAACATTAATTAATCATTTGTTATCCTAAGCAAATATGAGACAAAAAGGTCGACATTCACAAGACATTTATATTTAATTTCAACCCTTTGAAATAAGAATTATATTCTGATTCAATTTCGTTATTTCTCTACCTTTGATCCACTGTTCATAATCGTTCCTGTTAGCTAACCAGCTAGCTGAGGGGTAGTTGAGACGAGCGTGCCGTGTGCAGAAATATTTAGAGTGGCAAGAGGATGAGGAGATGAAGACATCGGGAATCTGCCCGTCCATCATCCCCAGAGGGCGGGCTGTGTCGATAGCATCTACGATGAGAAGTAAAAATGAAAATGATTAACATAGTAATCAATGTCATTGAATAGGAGAGTTTGGCCAAGCCGGTTCGAGATAGCTCAGTCGGTAGAGCAATGGTCTCGTTATCCGGTGACCCGGGTTCGAAATCAAGTCGATGCGCTAGTGCCCTTTGGTAAGGCATTAATCCTCATTACCAGGTCCCTCGGAGATGTAGGATTACAGAAAACATGACCAACGTTCATTATTCAGACGGTAGAAAGGTTAATCGCTGAAAAGCGCAACAAAATAGATAGGCACAATTAAAAATGGCGCTTAATTTCAGAAATTTTTGAAAATAATCCTTTTTAAGCAGTTCAGCAGATGATACTGGAACGCTGACTAAAATCCTTTTTTTCTGGGAGGGGGAGGGGGGGTGGTAATTTGACGATCGCTGATGTTTTCTATTCTATATACTATAGATCCATTTGATTTCTTCTTTGTATATTTGTATTATGTTAATGTTGAATATAAAATATTATTGGACCAATGAAAACTTATCAAATATATATTTGTTTAAAGTAGACACCAAATATGGGCCGTATTATGTGCCCTCCTCCCCGTATAATTCCCCCTCCATCGATTTTCGGCTTTGTACCCTCTCCTCTCCTTAAAAAGGAATCATAATTATATCCACCACAGACTAACTTCTAGTCTCCATCATTAATACCTTTAATATTGAATTCCTGCGTCACATGAATGAGTATTCGATGTAAGTACTGTAAATTCTTACAACCAAATTGCAGCCCAAGTCTTGAACTTTGATGGCAGTAAAAAATAAACTTGTCCCATTTTAACAAGAAATTTAAAAGAAGAAAAATCTGCGTCCCAGGTCAAAAGTTGCCATTGGTGTAAGATTTTAAATGTATTACAATTAGAAATGTCAGTTTGAAACATGCTTCATTAGATTTACCTGCAACGGGTCCTTTGATGTAGAATTCCAGCCTGAGAGCGATGTAATTGTGCCAGGTTTGGGGTTCGAGCCTCACGAAGCGAGCTACGAAGGGTGGAGAAAACTCGTTCGCCACAGGCGTTGAGGTGTCAAAGTTACCGCTGAATGTCTAGAACACATTGTTATCAAACTATTTAAATGGCGTACCAAATAAGCATAATCACAGTGAAAGTGTTAAAGTTAATTGTAAAACGGAAAGAGAAAAGTGAGGGGATGGCACCATTAACTCGCTAATTTGCATACATGCATCCTACGTGCTACATACATGTATCAATGTTTTATGAAACTATGCAAAACATAAAGAAATCACAAATTACTTTTTTTTCTCATCCGATTTTGATGAAACCTTTATTTTTGTTTGTTTAATTTTTCTCTATTTATTCAATTCAACTTACTCATGGGCCGGACTCGCCATTTGAATACAGTGTTATTATTAATATAATAGTGTAATCATAGAACGCTATCATACAAAATTTTATGCAATTATTGTATGACAAATTTATTTAGAAAACAGATAAAATAGTTGTAAAACAACTCCAACAAGTTGCATAACGAAATATTTTGATTTGTTTTCTCGTTTGTTTGTTTGTTCAATATTTAGTGGCGATAATAATGAAACAGCCAACAATAATAACAAAAGTAATTATTTTGTCACACCAATAATGATACTAAAAATAAATGATGATTAGTGTTGATAGTTTTGATAGTGTCATAGATAAAAATTCATAAAAATCTATCGGAGATACAGATCTGATCCTAAGTTTCTGTGTTATTGCGTATCATGGATGTAAAAATGTTCAACCTATATTATTTTTTATTAAATCTTCGTATATAAATATGATTGTAAAGTGCATGGCTTTACCCGTCCTTGTTGTAGACTAAATACCGGTATCCAAGTCAAGCCGTCACTGCTGTGAGATACCAGGTATGACGTCACAAAGGCATGACCTCCGTCTTCACCCTGTGTAATGACACCGATCACCTGATATTTACCCGTGAAATCAACCTGCGGAGTGTTGATGACGTCATAACGAAGAGTAGGCGATGGTTGTAAGCGAGACAAGAGCAAGAAAGTCAAAACGGAAATGTTAAAATATGATTCATTTAAAACGGGGAAAGAGAAAATATCGCATGCGGAACAGATCGCGAGAGGGGTTTAGAAGGGCGTAACGTAAAAGGGAGTGTAGTTGAGAAGGGGGGAAGACGGTAGGGAGAGAAAGAGAGAGAGAAAGAGATAGAGAGAAAGAGAGAGAGAGAGAGAAAGAGAGAGAGAAAGAGATTGAGAGAAAGAGAGAGAGAGAGAAAGAGAGAGAGAAAGAGATAGAGAGAAAGAGAGAGAGAGAGAGAGAAAGAGAGAGAGAGAGAGAGAGAGAGAGAGAGAGAGATTAAAATGACAGCGCAAACGACAGTCAGATAGGCGGAGAAGGAAGAAAGGTATATAAGACAGACTTGTTACTTCAAAAGAGAACATTGTAAAATAAGACCCACTGCCTTGAAATCTGCATCAAGAAGCCCATACGATCACCGTAACGGCATATTGCAATTACTAACACAAAGGCTTTTGTCATCCTACCAGGTCTACAATTCTCTCCTGGGTATCGAGAGGTAAATGTAGATTAATGCATTGCCAAATGACTTTAGTGTCGTGTTTTCAGGTCTACTGCTTAAACCACTCGACTACGACACCTCTACATCAACTTTAGTCATTGATTATTCAATACACCAATCCATAAATCGATAAACTAATAATTCATGAAACGATAACCATTCATACTTGAATCCATTGATTTTCGTCCGCTACTCGAGGTAGCCACGCCCCTCGATACATCTTGGTTGCCATGGTATTTAGTCGAGACCTGGTCACGCATGAGTAAGCATCCAAGCAGGATGAGGCTGTGATGGACGAATCGAGGATACCATCGTGTAGCAATCCCATCCACGTTGATATGTTCATCGGACGAGCTTCATTTGACAAGAAAATGGATTTGATGTTAAAGGGATCCGGTAACTTTGTCTCAGATTCTGAAACAAAATCCTGGATTTAGCTCATGCTGCAATTATAATTAAAAACCTTTAGGTCAGTCAGTCAGGAACTCCATGACTTTTACAAGCCGATCGCCCGTCTGATTATGAAGATATTTATGATTGGAAATCGAAACCAAATTTGGGTTTGCCAAACGGTTTTTATAACATTACAGTCTATTGGGGAAAACGAGTATAGTAAAACCGGTCACTCAAAGATTTTTACTTTTTTGAGGCACTTCTTGATCATTTTGAAGCGTAATGTTTTTTTAAGGCTTCAATATTACACCATATCACAGTCCACCCTCATATTCAAGATAAGCTTGAGCTCTGGTAATGAAAGAAAATAAATTCTCGCAGAATCCAACAAAACTTACACTGACTGAATGTTCACGATTACAAATAAATGACACGTGCCAAACGATTTTGGTAGAAAATGTATAGGGCCTGAGTAATGAGCATAGAAACGAAATTAACGTGGGTATGCCCGAGACAAGTCACATGCAAATGAGAGTTGTGGTTATTATTGAAGACGATTTCCAGCAAGTTTTTGTGAGGTTGTTTTTATTTTACCCCTTCAAAAATCAATTAACTGCAGGATAAACAATCCAGAATTAATTATAACCATGTTCTCTCGACATACGATGCATGCACATACCAGAGCTTGAAGATCTAGGGTAAGTTGGTTTTAATAGAAGCAGAAAATGAGAGGCATATGTCAGTGGAAGTTTGACCAAAATCCTTTAAAAAAAAAGGGAAGTTATTAATTTTTTAGTTGTCATCGATGAAACACAAATCGACAATACTGTGACGTATCTTGCGAGGTCCTTTCCAGTTTGCTATGTACACAAAATGTTATAAACATTAATTTTCTCACTTATTGATGACATAATAATAGATTCGTTCCATATAGGGGTCGTACAAAAACATATTTACAATTATTATATTTAGGATGCAGGTGTATGATTGAACAAAATTATGCTGGAAAAATATAAGTTTCTCATTTTGATTTTAATAGTAAAGAGCAAACAGGAGGCCGGGAGATATGTCACGGAGTTGCCAATTTGTGTTTGATTGATAACTTTCTTATTTAAAATAGATTTTGCTAAAACTTTCACTGACCTGTTAATTTCAGGGTAGACTTCCCCTTTAAAGTAAGAATGACTGTTTTTATATATTTTGGGATGGTGGTCAACAAGTACGGATAAAAGTTAACCGAAGTGTGAGGAGGGGGGGGGGGGGGGTCGAAAGTGAGTGGGAGGGGCTGGCGTCGCTTCTCCGAATACCAATTTTCCTGTTCCTAAAATTCAGTTAAAAGGGCACTTTATCGTAGTGAAGTGTAATGTTGTCATCGCAATGCCGCGATAGGTGTGCCTAAAACCTACAATTTGTGCCCGAATGTTGGTCATTTCAATTCTCGGAAGGAGAGCGCAGCCCCCTACCCCCGCCCCCGCCCTCCATTCCATGGTTGAAGAAATAAATGTTTTTATCATGAAACATTAAACAGTGAATGTAAAATATACGGGTCATTGTAATGAATATGTGTCATGTGATACAGATTGTTATGAAAGGATATACAAGACCTTACATGATTAAATTAAAAGATAACATTGGGGAGGGCCAGAGAGGTCAATCCATATAGCACACGGTTTATACATGTGTCATCATATCATATTTTACGTGTCAAAAGATCATGATTTCCAACCAATCAGGTCAATTTTTCTATTTGAAGGTTTTGAATTTGATAAACAACTCTTTTTTCCCCGGCAAAGACTGAACCGGTAAATAATTTTTTTCCAGGCAGACACCACCAGCAGAATAGGTTGGTCGTTGTTATTTGATAGAGTTAATCAAACTTGACCAGAGAGGGAGGGAGAGAGAGAGAGAGAGAGAGAGAGAGAGAGAGAGAGAGAGAGAGAGAGAGAGAGAGAGAAAGAGACAGAGAGAGAATTAAAAGTATCAAAATACGAGGCACAGTACATAATGTTATGTTTTCAATTAAATCTAAACAGCCGCTGATTGAATAAGAGTCCGCGAACCAGGGGCGGCGATCGGGGGGAGGGAACACGTCCCCCTCTTATTTTAGGGGAGATCGTCCCCCCCCCCTGGAAAATTTGAAAAAAGTGCCCCCCCCCCAAAAAAAAAAAAAAAAAAAAAAAAAGTATAGCAAATACTGACTAAAGACTGCAACACACTTTAAGGCTCTGGAGGGCCCAAGAGTTCAGCGTTTAAAACTAGTAAAAATGCAAAATAAATTCTCGATCGGTCGCTATGCTCCCTCGCATAATATCCTTCAAACTGGACAGGTAAATATTGTAGAAAATCTTGCATTTCGCCCCCCCCCCCCCCCACCTCCTCCGGTCATGAAAAGAAATCGCCGCCCCTGCTGCCGCGCACAATTAATTTTTATTCTCAAACAATTTTCCTCTCGCATGAGGAGTAAAAAATTAATATGAAGATTCCTATTCGAGAAGGAAGAGGATAATCATCACACTGTTATCATAGTTATCACGTTCTAATCGAGCATGGTTGACAGATTGAAGTAACTTACTGCTTCCTGTCTTCAGGACTTAACTTTTAATTGATCAAGATTCAAGAATCCATGTACAGGGGGGTGTTTCACAAAGATCCTATGTCGAACTTAACCCTAAGTTGGACTGAACAATTATGGAAAACCGTTAGGATCTTAGAAAATATTTCGTAAAGCTATTTTAAAAGGCATAAAAAGGTTGATTCAAATCATTCATGTTTTCTATTATCAAGGAGATTTCATGTTCTTGATGTGGAATTTATGAAAAGTCTAAAATACTTGAATTTTTGCTTTTGAAAACATTTTATTTTAAGACTACAAATGGCTCTCCATAAATTTGAAGTCCAACTTAAAGTGAAGTTCGACTTATGATCTTTGTGAAACACCCCCGTGTCGGGGAAAGCAAGAGTTGAATTAGAAGAATCCAGGGGGCAATTTCGGAAGAGAAAGGAGGATATGTATTTCGCACGGATTAAATAGTAATAGAGTTAAATATTATTATTATTATTATTAGTAGTAGTAGTAGTAGTAGTAGTAGTAGTAGTATTAGTAGCAGTTTTAGTAGTAGTAGTAGTAGTAGTGGTAGTAGTAGTAGCAGTAGTAGTAGTAGTAGTAGTAGTAGTAAAAGTAGTCGTAGTAGTAGTTGTTGTCGTTGTAGTAATTGTTGATGTAATTGTTGTTGTTATTGTAAATGATTTTAATAACAATGATAATTTTGATGTTGGTTATAACGATATTGGTAATATTAATTAATATAATAATACTATACTAATAATAATGATAGTATCAATTACGATAATGATACTAATAAAAACTACTACTACTACTACTACTACTACTACTACTACTACTACTACTACTACTACTACTACTACTACTATTAATACTACTAATAATGACAAAAATAATGTTAATAATAAAAACAACAATAATAATAACATACATTAACATGACAAGTATAAAGATAATAATTTTTAAAATATTAATAACAATAACAATTTTATGATAGTAATGATACTTATAATAGTAAGGATACAGAGAACATTTTTATGATATTACCTACATTAAAGGTACTCTGAATAAAAGCGATAGTTTAATGATGAAAAGGGACAAAATTGACAAAAAATGTAATGCCTTTCGTTGTTATTTTGATTGTCTAAATTGCTTTATCCTGTATTATGATATAAGAACAAATAAGCTTACCTGCGCATTGAAGTACACCAACAAACATCATAAAATAGATCGTTGAAGAATAGTCCATTTTACATCCAAAGAAACCACCTCTTCAATATCCACGAATTAATTTCTAGAAAACAGTCTTCTTAAAGTCAAGAAGTTGAAATGGAACTGTTTTCAAGAAGCACGTGCTGTGAATTGCAAACGCCATGAATGGACAAGCAACACGATACAGTATATCAATTATCAACTATTTCGACTCATTAAAAGTAGATAATAATCTTGTTTAAATTCTTCTGGACAAATGTGAATCAGAAACACTTGTTTCAAGAAACATATCCTATTAATTTTAAGCTGGAAAGGCGTAATCATTAATTGCCATCTCTTGTTTCTGTAAATGTATCTATAAAAAGAATTTTTAATTTTTAATATAAATTGTATTTTAATGTCGTTACTGGAAAGGGACTCATAAGATGTCTTTTTTTTTCATGAGAACACGATTTCCAACGATTAATTTATTCATTCATTTGTTTGGATTTTGTAAATATTTTTCTCCATATTTAACTGGGATACGTTGAATGAAAGACGAACCAACATTTGCTAATTTATGTTAATTTACATTCATCAATTCTTTACATTTTACGTCTGCATATAGTATATCTAAGTATTAATAATGACAGTCAAGAACGAAAACAAAAATCTAGGCGTTAGAAAAGTCAGATCCCCTTTTCTCCCGGGAAAATCTTAATCTTTTTAATCCCTTCTTTCAGCCAAGAAGTTGTATGGGCGTAATAAAATATCAGGTCATAGATTGTTGTTCTCTATTATTTTTTCTTCTGTTTTTACAGTTCCTTTGTATGTTTCCGAACTTCCCCCGTCATCTAGACTCCCACCCTCTCTCTCTCTCTCTCTCTCTCTCTCTCTCTCTCTAATCCTTATTTTATTCCACTCCTTCACAAATATTTTGTTTTCTCCACTTATATTCATCGATAGCTCTTTCTTCCACCTCTAATGTTATGCGTTAAATCTGTTTTTGTTTAAATAACTGATGTATTTTACATTCCTGAAACTTTAATTATGTTTGTTCTTCACTCATAGCCCCCTCCCTCCCCCTTCTCTCTCTCTCTCTCTCTCTCTTTCTCTCTATATAACATGATTAACCAATTACTGTTCAACTTCAATTCTTGATATCACAATATCCTACTAAT